CGTTTATACCTGCTGGAGCTAGAGTGCCTAATTTGTAGATAAGTCTCTCTTCATGTTTCTTCCGAACTGTATCAGTCCCATTACAAAGTTTAATGCCAGTTATAGTGATATCATTCAGAGAGTGGTTAGTGGCAAAATATATATATATACACGATTGAAACTCGTTCCGTTATTCTTCTACATTCTTATACAAGCTCTACAACGGTGTTACAATTGTACTAAGCACTGTTTTTCATACATTTTATACTTGTTATTTATATATTTTTTTGTATTCATTTTATTAAAAGGATTTACCGCCCTCTTGGACGTGTGCCACTGATCAAAAAGTGTAATTCTTGGATAAATAATGTTATCCTTATTCATGTTTATATTATTGTTTATTTGACGCCAATAGCTAAAGGTATTCCAAACAGCTAAAAATAAAAACCCTTCACGAGACAGACAAACAAGCAGATAAACACGCATATACCGTACTCTATGAGACTGACGGTTGTTTTAGGTCGTGAAAAAAAAAATCTGCTACCGTCACAGGAATTTAACACACAACACTGTGATTGGAAAACAACCGTATTAGCCATCAAACACTACTTTCTTTAACAATATAATAATAACATTAATCACTAACGATAATGAAAATAATATTAATAACAATAATATTAATAATAACAATGATAAAACATATCTACGTGATGACATACAATTAAACCTCGTCATTTTTATATACAGCTTTTGAAGGCCATACGTCTTCACTCATTTGAACTGCACTTGAATACACCAATGAGCTCAACAATAGATTTACAAATAACACAGGTTTCTCTTTATGAGCGTAACATGGTAAACAGAACACTTGTCGTGAAATATGATTTTGTGTATGTAACTCGCCCCGGTCAGCCTTTGTTATAGAATGTTGTGACAATATATATAACTATTTCATCGAAATTAACGCTACTGCTACTACTTTTTTTAGCAAATTGTAGGCCTATATGATTTAGAATTTTCAGGGGCGGCACCCGAGTGGAGAGTGTAAGATGGGGAGGGGTAACATTCACCTACTGAGGATACTGACAATTCCGACAAATTTACCACACCCCTCCCGTCACCCGTACTCTTAACCCACTACTACACTTACCTCAACCTCAATAATGGAGTCACGTCCATTACTGGTGGAACCTTGATCAACTCCGTCTGGCATTGTTGTACTATCTCTGTTGTGTGGATAAGCGAAGTGTTGGTCGAATTGTGACCATGAGACGAAACCACCAATTTGTATAGGCCTACTTATTTAAAGTCCACAATATCTAAAACATGGACTAAGTGGAGTTTAGAGGGCGGTGTTAAATGTTGTTTTTTTTCTAGAATAATGTTGAAATAAAAATGGATTGAACAACGGACCAATCAGAGCAGGGCAAGAGGTACGCGAAAGTCCCACAAACACTAACGTACCTGGGTTGGTATGTGGATAGATTATTTTTTTGCCAATCAATCAATCAATCAATCAATCAATCAATCAATCATTCAACCTATTAACATTTTAGGTACAGTGGCACACAGGTCCGATTTAATATTTTTACTTAACTGAAAATTTAGAGCAGGGCAAGATGTACGCGCATGTCCCGCAAACACTAAAGTGGCACACATATCCGCTTCCTTATTTTTTATTTAACTGACCAATCAAAGCAGGGAAAGAGGCAAGCGCATGTCCCATAAACACTAAATTTTACGGACGTATATAATTTGCCTTGTCAATCAAAAATTCAATTTAACATTTTAGAGACAGGCTTCCTTCACTCGTTCGTTGCGACTATTTAGAGTTCTGTTTTGTGTCCTTTAAGTGAACAATTTTGGTAAATTGAATGACAATTTGAAGGTAAAATAAACGTCTTTATGCCAGTAGCAATATTTGTATATTGATCATTTGATTATAGTATAATTCAACATAATGCTGTTATGTCTAATAAGAAAGTCATTTGTAAATTTAATGTAATTAGGCCTATATTTACATATTGCTTTTATTCTGTGATTAAATTAATTAGGTTACGATTGAATATATATTTTTTTCATTAATACTTTAGTTCTAATTCGAATGTGATCTGTTTTATTTTTAAAGACTCTTTGTCTCTTGCCTTTTGTATACAATTTTGTTTTATTTTAATTCAAAATTATGTATTTTAATGTACAGTAATGTGTTTTGATGAATGTTTTTATATATTATATAAAAACATATATTGAGATTAAGAAAGCAAAGAGTGCCTTCCATGCACGTAAAGTAAGACCCCTAAAAACGTCCGATCCCGGGAAGTGGCATAGGGAAGTGAAGAACCTGGGGGGCATGAAAAAATTAAAAGATCCCTTGATTCATGTCCCTAATGTCGACTGTGAGGCCCATGTGGCTATTGCTAACGCAATTAACTTGCATATAGCTAGTTTTTCCCAAATTCAACCACCATTGGTCATTGAAAAACTTCCAGCGTATCTCCCAAGCCCTATGCCACCCCCTAAATTTCAGACTTGGGAAATCCATCAAGACCTTTGTAGACTGAACGAGAAAAAGGCAGGTGGACCTGACAATCTCCCACCTAGGGTACTTAAACAATGTGCATTTGAATTAACTGTTCCAGTTACTGATCTTATAAACTCTTCTTTAAAAGAGGGTAGAGTGCCATCCCAATGGAAAGAAGCGAACGTGACCCCTGTCCCTAAAGAGTACCCACCTAACATTAATAAACTTAGACCTGTGTCCCTCACTCCTACACTGGCAAAAGTTGCTGAGGGTAAGGTTGCTAAAATTATACTAAAAACAATAAAACCGGCTATTGATAAAAGACAGTATGGTAACCAAAAAGGAATTTTTTTGTTTTTGTAATTTTTGTTTTCAATATAAATCGTCTAGTATTGGACCTTGGACTTTTCTATAATAACGCCTCAATTTTTGCATTGTAATCAATAACTTTATTTCCTCGATGAAATCAAGTTATTTGCTGTAGTAAAAATACGTTTCAGTTAAGGAGAGACTTTTTATACCTTGTTTAGCGAAGCCGTCGCCCGCCAATAATGATTTCGAATAAAAATAAAATTTTATGTGTGGACAATTAAGCGTACCCGCTGCGACAAAAAAAAATTATTATTTCAGAAAATAAGTTCTTATTTCTGCATTTACCCCCGCCACTGCCTTGAAATCTCACTGTATATGTATATTTCTTCCTCATTATATAAATCAAAACATTTAACAATCCAATTGCTACACTGTTTACATTCACCGATAAAATTTTATTCTCATTTTCTCCTCCGTTTGGATGTTTTTGGCAAAACTATTTGATAAATAAAATAACAAAATGTTATTTTTTCCGCCCTCCTCTGATGATCCTTAAAAATATAAACAAGGTATAAAAGTCTCGACTAAGTCTCGTTTCAAAAGAAATTTAAAAAAAAAGATTGTTTGCAATTTGTATCAATTTATTCCATATGCTCATTAACAAAAAAAAATGAGGCAATGCAAAAGTGTAATGAATAATGAAATGCCTAGTTTCACTCCCAAATCTAGACACTAAATAAATTTATTCAATGGAAATCCCTACTTTGTCAGAAAGTAAATAAAAGTACACAAGAGAGCCATGTCAAAGCAACAAAATAGAGATTATATTTCAAGAGCTTTCCCATCACAATAGGGTCCCTTTATTCAGTCGAGATCTATTGGAGCAAAACAAAATATCACTCCAGTCAAAATGGCCGTTTCAGCTTTGATTAAGAGGTTAAGCATTTGAAATTTAGTTTTTTTTTTTAGAAACGTTTGTGAAACTTCAACATCAACAGCTTTCATATAAATGTATCACATCTAATAGTCCTATAAATTGTGTAAATATTTTTGTCATTTAGATTTAGTCCATCCTTTCTTTAGACAAATAAAATGTCAATCATACTTAGTTAAGTAAATTCAAAATTAAAAATTAAAAAAAATAAAAAAATTGAAAATCAGGTAGTAAATTTGTAATACTCTTTAAAAATGTAATTTAATGCTTAACGATTGCCCTGTAATATCAGTACATTGTTATTTTAAAGAGAAAAAAAAATGAGTGATTGATGCAATTTAAATTAAACATTCAATAACTCATTTAAAAGGGTCAAATAAATAATAAATTTTCGATGAGACAAGATCAAAATACTCAAATTTACGATTTACAGAAATGTTACAACGAAAATCTTTCAATTGATTACTAGCCAATTTAAGGGTACAGGAAGTATCATTAATGTGTCTTCTTAGCCTTATTTGCATAAAATCGCTACATTGGTTAGCTGTCTCCTACTGCAAATAGGAAGGCGCTCTGATTCGTCCGACCAATCAGCGTCGGCAAAAGTCGTCGGCAACAGCGTGTAGCGATACCATGGAAACAAATTTTATTTTGAGTGAAATATGTTCTCACTAATATTTTCAATGGACCTGTCCGGAGTTCAGTCAAATTCTTACAACTGGCCCATCAGAACAGGTCAAATAAATATGCACATGTCCCACAACCACGCTTGTTTACGTTGTTGTTTTGTGGGACCAACAATATTCAAAAGACAGGGGCTAGCAGAATGTCCATTGAAAGCTAAATACGAAGTAAGAAATTATTTATTTACAAGTTAATCAGACCGACATGTTTACAGAAATTGGTTTGCCTTGTATTCAAATTTTATATAAAGAAAATTCCCTAACATATATCTTCGCATAATAAAAAAAATAATGTAAAAAGCATATTTATTATAGGTCTGAACAGAGTTTAGGTAAGATCTGTTTATGCTTCACTACTACAGAAATTAAGTATTGACTGTAAAGTAGGACCACACCCTTCAAGTACAGTAAGTATACGTATAAGCCCCCTGGTCTGTTTTTCAGTTCTAATAATACCTATAGTTATAATTTTATTAATTAAAATTTTATGGTATACTAATATTATAGCAAAAATGAAAAACAGCTATTTCACTGACCTGCAGTGACCTTTTCAAAATTTCATTGATATCTTTTCCTTCGAGATTTTATACAAACATTCTTAAAAACAACTCCTGTTTCATTTACCAATGGACTTGCAATTGACAGAAGTGAACATCAAACCTTTGCAGCATTATAAATATTCATTATTTATATCATGTATCAATGATAATAATAATTGACTAAAGCCTATTTCATATTACTACCACTTAATAATATTGAACAGATATAAATCATGATTGAAATGTAATTTCTTGATGATTTGGTTATTGATTTTGTTCCCCTTTTCACTCTCATTCCCCTCATATCCCTTACATAAGTTCAAAGGTCAAACAAAAATTAATATACAGAAGGGCCTACAGGCTGTGCTAGTGACATAATACACTAATCGGAACATCAAGATAATATAACAATTATTTTTCAATGAACACACTGGTTCACTTACACACAATGTCCATTTGTTATATAAATTGCATAATTTCTTGTTATAACTTAATACTTGGTGGTCTAAGAGGGCGCTGTCAAACACGTTGAGCCAAAGTTTGCTTCTATTACAATGAAACCTATGATGGAATTTTTGATTTAACCAAGGTTACTTTTAACAAAATATAAACATAATCTATAACAATAATGACAGATCCATGAGTATACACAAGCCTACAATTACTGTAAATGTTCCATTAAGTGGCTCTTTTGATTAGCGTCACACCAGAAAAAAATATTTTTCGCTTAGCACTCCCTCAAAAAAGAGTTACAGCGTTCATTAAAAATTTATTCAATTTTTAATAATTGTTAATATCGAGAGTACATACCAAACTTCCTTGTATGCTTGGTATCATCCAGAAACTATTAAATAACCAATGTCTCGCGTATTAAATAATTCTAAAATTGAAACAAGTCAGATAGGCTTACTATGCACAATACATGGTCACATTTTAGTAATACATAAACTTGTAATAAGTGCTGCTTTCGAATAAACGGCGAACTGAAGTATTTGGAAAAAATATGCCGCAGCACTTATTGGAAGCTGACTCACAGTAATAATGGTAACATTACCTAATAGTCCCACACAAAACATGGTAATGATAATAAATATAGTATTTAAACAATCACTAGTACTATCAAATGTCCACATGATAAAAATAACATTGCATTTTGAGAATTTCCCTAAATTAAATGACTAATTCTACTTTTAATTGTTTGCCAGTCCCCTTATAAAAATGTTTCCTGTTACTTTAAAAACTATAATAATATTCAATACAAAAGTCATTATCAATATTACAGTAATTAAATATTAATATATTATTTAATTCTACTTTATTAGAATTCATCTTAGAAATATATGTAACACTACAAAATATTCTTTCTACTTAATACAATTTGGTACAAGTATAAAAGTACTTGAAATTTTAGGTATTAAAAGTACATACTTCAAAGTATATTGTCATTATATTTCCATTTTTGTTATAGAAAGAAATATTAATTTCATAATTATTGGGAACTCAATTTTTATCTCTAAATGAGAATTTACCAATATTACTTTAAAAAACCATATGAATTAATTGTAGGTGGGGATGGAGCACCTTCAGATAGTTATCAAAATACAAATATTTAAATATCTCTATCTAAAGTATTTAAAAAATGGAATTAAATATATAATTAAAATAAAATATTATATCATCATGTTATCTTGCATTAATTTAATATCAGTTTCATGATTTTTAGCCTATACTAACAAATATGATTTCAGTAATTATTTCTAGTATAACTGGTAATGTTGTTAGAAAATAAAAAGTATTTAAGTTAAAGAAGAGGTCTCTTTCCAATTAAAAACCATTTTTGTCACCTAGATTTTTATGGGTCTTTAGCAGATTTGGTCTTTAATTAGAAAAATTATTTTCATAAAAATATAAGATAGACATTCATTTGAGATTGCAGATAGGTGGTCTCTGATTAAAAGTGGTCTTTATTTGCAGGAAACTTAAATTAGAGGGGGACACCTGTATACTGTCTCAGAAATAAATTGAGGATAACCCTAAAACAAATCAATTAAAAACTTTTATATAAAAAGAATCAAATATGTTATCACCTTCCAATGAGACACAGGTCAAAAGTCAAAAGGTCAAATTCATTCAGTTTTTACTGATTCATTCGACCTTTAAGTAGAATAATTCCTAAATTGATTATCAGCCAAATTAAGAGTTTCATAAGAATATATGTATGCTATTATTATTCTTGCATCTTATAACTGAGCACTTACTACGGCCGACGATCATCAGCTGACGCGATTCTACGAAGAACGTTAACCCACAGCACGCGCGCAACTGATTGTTTATAATGACGATAAGTTCAGACTGCCACCGACAATCTTTAGATGGCGACACGTCGTCTAGCGCGGACGGTGAGCAAAGATGGAGCCGTACGACAGTCATACAAAACAGTGAGTGTCCGGTTTTCCAAATTCGTTTAAAATGGCGGGTAACAATTTTGTTTTTCATATTCCATTGAAAGACAATAATCTACGTAAATATACAAATTAAAAATGTTACATTTTATTATTTTAATTTTACATTTATTATTTAATTTTATTACCTGAACGCAAACAATATACATTTAAAGTAAAGAGCTACTTACACAGCTTTTTCATGAATCCTGATATGACCATCTTATCAAATTCATAAAAATGCTTCTAAATATGGCCTACATATTTAAAATTAATAACAAAACTTTAATTTCAAAAACAATTATAGAAACTTAATTTTCATCAGTTTTGCAATAACAATGTGCATGACAGCAAATACATTATCAAAAAGCACATTTGCTATGGGATGATTTTTAATACGTGTGCGTAGTCTTAGTTAAAACTGTTTTATAGCAATGGTCTTACAGAGGTAACTATTGTGAGAACATCTATGTAATAACGCTGGCTATAATCGACTAGTTAAGACTACCTGTTTATGACAGTTTTATAGCAATCTGCCTCTGGACTGTTCTGTACGAGTAATCAGGTGGAAGACACAGTTACTGCTTTTCACTTAGTATTTTAACTTTTGCATATCTATACACGTTGATATTGCCTTCTTTGTTGCTTAGGCTATTTGTAATGAAAGTTATATGTTTCATCCCACGTCGGGTTTCGAGCCGGTTTTGGCTTTGCAACCTTCTTTGGAAAACCTAAATAAAATATATTTAAAAGAAAAACAAAATTACAAAAGGTAGCAAAAAAATTGTGCCCTATATTTTTCGGAAATGTGATACAAGATAACCAGTACACGACTTTCAGTTTTGACGATGTATTAATACTTACTTATATCTAAATTTTGATACCAGATACTTTCTGGATTGTATGTGTCTTTAGCTTCAAAAGTAGCGTTTCCTGAAAAATAAAATGTTTACATTACCCCATTAAAATAATGGAAGAGTCATCCCAGTTAAAACACTATATATAATTATAATACAGTAGTACCTTTGTGGCCTTATGATGTATATGATCAGGAATAGACAGGTAAGACATATTATAGGAAAGAGGAGAGAGAAAGACATTGTGATAAGTGGTAGAGCATGGAACAACGATAATGTGATGGAGGAGGGTTAATTGTAATTAATATAAGAAATGAATCACCAAACATGATGAAAAAGAAGTCATTTAAAACTGCCTTGGACTCAACATACATAAATTAACAACTGAATATCATAATATCATATTTATTCTTAGGTCGCTTGGTTAGACTTTAGGATTTAGTTTTTGGTTTGTTTTCTTTCGTGTAACTTAAGCGCATAGAGACCATGTAGTATGCGCTTAAGTCCCAAACCATTACCATTATACTATTTAGTTGCTACACACCGACCCGACCAACGTACGCGACAACTAGCATTTTCAAATTTTGGTGTGTACGTCAAGATACAGACGCAGATCAAAACAAATGTGACGATTAGAAATTAAAACTAAATTTGTTACTACTTTGAATACAATTTACAACAAAATCTACACAAAACACAAATATTGAATTATTTTTTAAAATAAAATACAATATGTGCGCAATGCGTAAAATAATGTTACAAATTTCTCAACAGAAACCAAATTTATACCCAGCAGTACAAAGATGGAATGTCAACAAAAAAAATCAGAAATTACTTGACTGGGCCATTGTTCAGCAACAAAAACAGATTTCTTATGTAATTATGTCCTTGTCTCTTGGTAATATAATGTAGTAATAATATTAATTAAAGCCATCTAGCAATTTGGGTCATGCATGTGTATGTCAAAGGTCCAGAGAAATACAGTAGCATTATTATAGAATATGTACCTTTGCAAAACAGAATGAACATTATTACTACCATATACACCCAACCTACTAATATAATTTTACCAGACCACAACTGCCTCCTATTTTTTTTATTAGGAAACAGCAGAAAATAAATTGTATATATAATTTACATATCATATTCGTATATATCTATATACATCCAACAATCATATCATATGTGAGGTCTCACTACGAAATGAGACGCATCATTGGTGAAATCATATTGATATTCACCAAAACAGGCCAAGTCAACATTTTTACAAAATAATTGATTTTAATGTTTTGAATAACTTGATACTTCTATTTTTCGATTGTACACTTTGTAAGTGAATTTTCTTGCCAAAACAGTGTTCTCTGCACATATTCTGTAATTCTGGTCATATTATTTGTACAGGTTAGTTTATATTTGAGGCTGATTTTCTCAAAACATGGTTCTTATACACCTAAACTTTAAATGCTCACATCTCTGGATTTACTTATAGTAGAGAAGCCATTCAAAGACCACATGAAAGCTTATAATGTGATCTACCCAAATATAATATAAACTCAATTTTTGAATTTCTAACCATGAGACTCATTTTGTGGTGAGACCTCACATATTCGTATATATCCATTCACATCCAACAATAAGTACATTATAAACTAAGCTCCTTTATGTTCTTTACACAACTCATTACTCGACCACCCACTCCCAATAACTGCCCTCTCTCGTCTCCCTAAAAGACAATTGCTAAATAGCTTACTTATTGCTTCATTCAAGTCCATGTTGTGGTCTACCACTGTATTTTGTTGCGGTACCGGAGTGGTTGGAGTTGGATTAGAAGTAAAGTCTGGTATTCTTGGTCGAGCTTTCTACAGATTAAAATAAACTATAATAATTGCAAGATCAATCATAGTGGTTTCTTGCAAAGACGGTTGAATATGAAAAGGAAATACTGTACTACATACAAAATGATACATTAATTTTAAAAAAATAACAAGAAAAAAACTTTATCATCCTCTCCAAGCATTGTGATTCATTAAGGCATACACAAATGTTAAATTTTTAGCATTTTTAAATGACAGGGTTAAAATCTTAAATAAATTTAACTTGGAAAACTTAATAAATCTGGTATTACTACTCACTGTTAAAAACTTATTTAAAGTTGCAAATGGTGCCAATTTTTTAAAATTCCTGAAAAGAAAAATAATTTTACAAATCAAAATTATTTAAAATGAAGACAAAATGATATAAATATCAACATCATAAAGAATTACAGTTAAATAATATCATAAAAGAGTTACAATTGTATGTTAGCAATTTCTCCTTTGCATTCAATATAAAACTTTGTTATTAGTTATGGTACTGGTATGGGCATTTATTTTCCCTGGTCATTGAGTCCACATGTTAAGTGTTGCTGCTGGTAATCAGTGCAGGAGCAGGCAACCCCCACCCCGGTACCCATTTATACTCCTGGGTGGAGAGAAGCTCAAGGACACAAGCGAAATGCACAGCGAGGAATTGAAACCCCGACCTCGAGGTTGGGAAACCAAACCCTTCCAGCTGCGCCAAACTGCGGATATAAGAAGCTGACAGACAAAATAATTTGGTTTCTTTTCTATTTTCAAATGATCAGAGACACTATATACTTTCTTTTTTAACTAGGCCTAGAGATTAAAAATGTTCTATATAATCAATTTTACTTTGAGGTTAGTAAGTGGAAATGTTCATTAATGAGAGCACTACTGGAAATAGAAGAGGTTGAACCCGCACATCAGCAATTGTACAATAAGCACTTTAACCTCCAAGCCACACTCCTGTAAATTATATTAAATTTATCTATTTTGTATAATATATAATAATATATTATTATATATTATACAAAATAGATAAATTTAATATAATTTATCTATTTTGTATAATATATAATAATAATAATTAATAATTATATATATATTATATATATAATATATAACTTACGATGAAGAGCTTCCTGATCCTACTGTTTCTTGTGTTTGACCTGCAAAAAATTAAAAAGAACAAAATACACAATTTATCATCATGCCTTAAAAAAGCGAGCTACCTTAAACTTAAGAACATGGAGATGATTAAGGGCGTACGGCATCTAGAACAATAGACATCTGGATTCATATAAGGTAGTTCCGCTATGCTGCCGCATAAATAATAATGCTAAGATAATATAAAACATGAATTTACAGACAAACAGTGTGTGGGATGTGTGCATACTTCAGGTCCTGTTTACTGAATAACACATTTCTAAATCTTGCCTTAACTTCCAGCCCCACCCAACTGGGAGTGGGGAGGGAGGGGGGTTATCCTAAAATATTGTACACTTTCATTTGTCCTAGAGCATACCATTGCTTAAAGTTTTGCTTAAACATAGGCACAGAGATAAACAAAATTAAAAACTCCAGCCCCAACCGACTGGGGGGGGGGGGGTGGTTATCCCAAAACTTTCAAAATACTGTACACTTTCATTTGTCCTATAGCCCCCCCACCATTGCTTAAAGTACAACATTGTATGTACATGAAAAATAGGCATATAGGCATAGAGATAAACAAAATTAAAGCATTTGATATAATATATCATGCCTACAAAATCAAAATGCATAAAAATACAATATTTCAGTGGCATATCTAGGAGTCTTAGAATGGAGGTGGGAGGGTGATAGGGGTGGGGAGGGCTGATGGGATGGGCGAAGGTGACTTGGGGATCTGTGATTAGGTAAAGGGATGCTAGCTTGCAAAATAAGGTGATAAGAGGTGATTTTAACTACTTCAGATTTTTTTTTTTCAAACACTTTCAATGGAGGAAGGCAGTAAGTCCCCCACGCACCAACCTAGATATGTTACTGCAATATTTGGAAAGGAAAATAAACCAAGCGCTACAAATGGTAAATGAAGAAGCAAAGCAACTATCGCTCTAAAAGCCATACCTAGTGTCTGATACATTTCCTTGGTTCTTTGAGGCACCTCTGGAATGTCTTCATCATCGTCAAAAGAATCATCAGTGAAAGACCAGCCAGAATTAGAGGAAGCTGTGCTAGTTACGCTTGTCAAGCGTGATTGAGATGCTTTTGAATGAACAAATATGTAAAAGCAACTTAAATTCTAGGCATAGCATGCATGTGATTTTTATCTCAAAACAAAGTTAAAAAAAGTATTATTTGTAAAAAGGTGTGAATTTGTGTAAATGGCTTGGTCCTCATTTTTTGATAGAATGTTGTCCTTAAATTGAATTTAAATTGAGATTTCTCAAACCAATCTGAGTGAGATACTGGACAGCCTTAATAATGACTTCTAATATTGACTTGTTCCCATAGTCCTAAACACTTAAGCTCGGTTTCCATAAGAATCGCTACACAGTCGCTACAGCATTTTCACTTCAATCCTTGCACTGTGCAGCTGCACCCGAAGCAATCAGTAATGGTCACTGATCCAACGGACTATTCAGCGTCGCAAAAGGATATGGCGATAGCGTGTAGCGTTCTTTATGGAAACCAAGCTTAAGCAAAGAAGGTAATATTCAGTTCATACAGTTAAGTATTCACAAAATAATTGAAATTATTAGGTTAGAATTTTTTTAAAACATATATTTATTGTCTCCTTTCTCATCCTATTTTTTAAACTCCGCCGCCTCCACTTTTTGTGAAGAATAAAGCAAACTATACTACACCGCAGATGGAGAAAGAAAAAAGAAAATAAGCCCTGTCCAGACTACCAAATTTTCTTTGACAAAAAACTGTTATATGCCCATATATAGTCATGATGTGCCCGTATATAGTCATGATGTGCCTATATTTGGTCATAAAGTGATATCAGCATGACCGTATTTAGGCATATCACAGGTATTTGTCAAATAGAATTTGATGGTCTGGACAGCGAATAACTCTGAAAAGGAAAGTTGTGATTGTCTACATTGTACGCACACTGTAAACTTACCTTTATTATCTTGCAGTGATGAGAATTCTCCGACCTCAGCGTATGCAGCATCTTCGTTCATGTACGTATTGCTACGTCCTGCTGGTTTCGGTCGATTAATAGTCTGCAAATCGATATCCTCATAAGCTTCGTCTTTATTCTGTTTTGCTGGCCATCTAACATCAGATTTCGTCACTTTACTGTCAATATCAGTATAAGCATAGGGAACAACTTCCTCTTTGCAATTTGAATTCTGACCAGTAAGACTGTAATCTGGATCAAGATCGGCAGATATATATGCTGGTGACTCCTCAGTACCTGATACTTTTTCTCTTTCAATGACATCATTGATATGGCTTTTATGTTCAACATAAGCGTACTCTTCTTTGCCTACTGTGGACGATGTTGTTTTTTGAGAAGTCTGATTGTCTACTGGTGGTAATGATCGCTTCTGTGGTACTGGCAGTTGGAACGAGATATCAAATTGTTTACTACGTATTGGCTTTAAAGGTGGCACTTTCTTTTCAGGCTGGACAAACTCGTAACCAGATAATGATGTCTGGTCTGGAGACACTACTTCATACCCTCTACTTGCGGATGTACTGCGGAGAGGCTGTTGGCGCTGTAGAGGTCTTGGGCTAGGCAAATTTTGTAGGGGTGGCTTACGGTCTGTTTGTGGTTTGACAGTGTCTTGCGGTTTATTCAAGTCCGCAGAGAGTTGCTTAGAATGGTTGGGTTTCATCTGCAAACCCCCTGTCAGGCTAGTCCCGTGTTGTAACAGTAAGTTCTGAACTCCAGTGATTCTACTCTCTGTACCTGACAATCTTTGAGTAGTTGTTCTAGGACTCTTCACATTATCAAGAACTGAATCAAAAGAGCGTCTCTGGGCTGGGGTCGGAGTAACAACTAAATTATCTTGTTTTAAATTTCCAACTTTAGAACTTGAGTTAGGCTTGTTAGTTGGAATTGGAGGTTTTAAAGGCTTTGATTTCAGATTTTGTTTCGAAGGGGCATTGACCTTCGAACTATCAACATCGATGGATGGAGGCTTTCTAGGTACCTCTGGTTGTTGTGGAGTACCTGTGGGAAGGAGAAATTGAAAATGGTTGAAAAATCACCTTATATAACACAAGTAAACATATATTGGATATGTAGTTGAATGATTACAATAGAAACAGTCGGTGTCACATAAATTTGGTGCAAAATTTTGAACAAACAGGATGACTGATGCATAGCACCTTTAGAGTGTTTCTGCTGTGAAGCACATCACTGAGTTTGAATAATGTTGGTTGGAACCCCATTTCCAAATTGCTTGGGAATGGAAATTGAGAATATAGTCAAGTTGGTTAACCCAAATGTTAATCATTTATAGTGTAAAAAAACACAAAATACTATAAAATACACAGAAAATATTAGAAACTCTCCAGAAACCATGGTACCTAGTAACCGTATAAAAGTAAGTCAAATTGTGTATCGAAATATTGAATCACAATGACTTATATCACATTTTTTCGGAGTTTGCGTCATACTATCTTATATTAGAAACTCTATTTTTAATGTTACTGCCTTTCCTTGCAATTTATATATCTTGTTAAAAAAATCATAACTTTTCCTTTTTCTACATCTTTTCACTGATAGCATTGCATGTTACCCCACTAAATGTTACGTGACATCTACTAGTGTCTAGTTGCCGATTGTGGCTATTACTCCTCAAAATAATAAGACATAATTAATAACAAGAGGCCAAAACATTGTAGGCCCAACCGACCTAGAATCTCAAAATTCTAAAACAATGTCCCAACTATCAAACTTGTGACATGCCTAAATATAGTCATGATGACATCACATCATGATCATATATAGGCACATCATGACTATATATGGGCACACAATAGTTTTTTTGTCACAGAAAATTTGATATAGTGGATAGACCTAAATATAATTTTTTTTTAGCACCGCAAGTTTATTTGTACACTATGTACTATTAATTTCTCTGACAACATATTATATTCACAAGCTTATTGTCAGAGTTCCTGAGATGTTTTGATGCAATCCAGCTACTAAACACACCTGATTTTTCCCTGGGTACTATGTGAGAACATTGGCTTGGTTCTATAGTTAACTGATATTGGGGCAAGTCCGGTCTTTGATAAAATAAATACCTAATTGATACAGTAAGTGGGGCCTAATTACTACACTACAAAATTTAATTAGCAAACATATATAATCACACAATACTCACCCTTTTCTATTTCCAGTCTCGATAAATCCTATCAGATAAAAAATATGCAATTTATATAATTATCGTTAATTTTTGTCATTAAATTCAGTGCATAGCAGCTTGTCCATACAGTTTTTAATTCCATTCTATTTATTATATCAAGTATCAAAATACAGTTGACATATGATAAAAGCAATTTAATCGAAAAAAAACAAAAAACCATACAACTTCCACATTGGACTGTAAGAAAAGTAAAACTAACTTATAAAACAGCAAGACTCAAAAGATATTTGACAAAGAAATATAATGCCAGCTCTCAAATGAGTGGGTTTTTTTTCTCAATAATCAATAATAATAACTTTTATTCAACAATGACATGGAAACAGTTGTAATGAGAGGAAAGGGGGGGAAAAAAGAGAAGACATTGTTAGGATCACAATTAGAAGGCAGGCCTTGTTATTACTTCGCCAATGCAATCCTTCAAACAATACTTTAAGAATAAAATAATAAACAAAAGGAGAATTTAATTAAATAACAGAGAATTCTTACATGATCTAATGTCCAATTCTCATATAAAGGACTGTCTCCAAATGTCATGCCAAATTTTGTTATTAATGTTTCGCGAAACAATTCTGCTGCTGCCTTGTGGACCAACTCATACTGTTCCTGTTCAAAGACAAAAACAATTAAATGTGAACTTCTTCCAGTTTTACCACCAACTCTTTTATGCTACAGTACATCATTTTTTAAAAACATTGAGAACAAGAGCAATCATCCCATGTATACCTCAGCCTGTGCCTGAATACTGAAATATGCAGATTGTGTATAAAGGGTGATTACATTATTTTCCACCCTGTGCCTGCATACCGAACAATAAGCAAGGCCGTGTATGATGGGACATTCCATTATTTTCTTTTATGTTCAAGTGTAAAAAATCAAATTCCTGTGAGCTTCTGACCTTTCCTATCCAAAGTTCAATCATCTCTTTCTTTATGTATCATTCCACTAAATTTTATGATAATCCATTCCTTAGATTTTGCCTAATCTTGCTAACAGCCAAAGAATATATAACCTCCTTTGGCGGAGGCAAAAATAACAGGGCCGCATTAGCACAGCAGTAAAAGGTTTGACTTTGGTGTAATTACGAAACCTGTCAATGTTTATGTCCTTGGGTGAGACACTTTCCACTATGACCTTATCCTTAGGATAGGGTGCTAAGCTGCTGGTTCTAGGTGCATGATAATACACATATACATAAAGTATGCATAAAAATGATCTTGTTACACTATTTCTAACAAGTTCTCATAATCTGAAAGCTCCCATGAGGGATATATAGAGGCAGTAGAGCTAAAAAAGATCTATTAATCAATCAACTATCAATCAATCAACTGAGTGTTTCTAGAGCTCCTCATGAGGGCAGTATAATGGAGGCAGTAGAGCTAACACAGATCTATTATTCAATCAAATATTAAACAGCCTCATGAGGGCAGTATAATAGAGGCAGTAGATCTAAAGAAGATCTATTAATCAATCAGCTGAGTATATCTAGAGCTCCTCATCGGAACTAAAAATTGTAGGGGATTGTCTTCAGATGTACTCGATAGCTACTTAGCTCAGGCGGTTAACACTGGTCGTTGCCACTGTGTGTGCCCTGAAATGTGGAGAGCTCTCTGTCCTAATTCAATTGCATTCGCTGCACTCCATGTGTTTCAGCTGGAAGGCTAAAATGCATAAATTATGATAGTGCACTGTCTATCGGATGAGATGTTTAGACTATTGGTCATATGTGGCAAAGACAAACCAAACCAGTCACTCGTCGCAAAAATCGATTTTGAATTATTATTACAGTGTTAGAGAGTAAAATAATAGCTATAAAATGGTAAAAAAATCATTCAAATCAGACATTTCCTTGTGAAGTTACAAGCATTTAACCACATAGCTGTTTAAAGAACAATAAATGAGAAATTAACTGTCAAAGTTTATGATTTCAGGCATTTCTCATGCAGAAACTATCTTTACATCTTTAAAAAGTATTGTTTTAACATTGAAAATGGGGTAAATAACAGCATAGAATGATGTGTAGATATATAAAGGTTAGTTTAGTGCAATAAAATAGATTTTTAAAAATTTGACATTCCAGCATGTTTTGGCCATTTTCTCTGAAAGACGATTTGCGACGAGTGACTGGTTTGGCTTGTCTTTGCCACATATGTGCATAATAAAGAACGCAATACATTCTTTGGAAAAAATTGCCTCCAGGTGTACTGCCCACTTGACAACCAGATGGAACCCACTAGAATTAAGTCTTCAGACTTATAATCCTTGGTGTGATTCATTCACACTAACTATACTCCTCCTCCTTAGCAGTATGGTAGACACCATCAGAGATACTTACTTTTGTCTGCACAATTGCATGCCTCTGTTTCCTCATGTCTAAAATAATTGACTTCAGACTAAAATTCTCGTCAATCATCTATCAAACAAAAGGCGAAGGGATTTATCGATTAGGTAAAATAAAAACAATTACAAAAGAACATTAACAAAAAAAGAGAAATTGTACAGGAAAATCAACGAATTACAAATTTGATTGTGTCAATTGTTAGGGTCTTTGAATTTTTAACAGGTACTTCCTTCAGAATATACAGAAAATATGTTCTTATGAAGTTGTTTGAATATTCTGATTATTTCTCAGCTTTAATGTATACTCATATATTTATATGTTCTCTACAGTATTGTTTTCAATGGTTTTGTAATCCAAATCTGTAAATCTTTTTAATTCTGTTTGAGCCTCTTATATTTATCCTTTTAATAAATTGTTTTATAAATTCAATTTTTAATGTTTTTTAGTGTCAAATTTTCAATTATATTGATACCATTTTTAACTTTTTTAACTTTTTTTCTTGATCTTGTTAAATTCAATTTTTTAAAAATTTTTAAATATTTTTTAAATTTTTTATATGTGAATTGTAAAACCATTTGTTGCAATTCAGTTTTTAACTGCAATGCATTTTGGAAATAAACCTTGAATATTATGGGTCAACTTCACAATTGGAGGTTACCGCCTAATTACAATACTTGCCAATTACAAGATAAAACAATGCTCTATGAACTACAGTAATTTCGATGCTTAGTGAATGGAGTAAAAATATTGTGGCTTCTCAAAGAATTTGAGCATAGAATCGATGCTTGGAAGGCAAGTATCAAACATTACATAGCTATACAGCTCAATTTAGATACTTTAAAAAAAAAGGTAAAAGGGAACACTGAAGAGAGATTTGGATTTAACTGCTTCCTCAGGGAATGAACAATTAAGTTGAAGAATGTGTCTAGAAGGAACATCTCAAGTTTTTAATTGGCAATTCAAGGAGTTACGTATTTCCAAGTACCAGTACTGTTGCATTGAAAAGAAATTACAAGAATTAAAGGGACAACCAGCAAACATCTATTTAAAAAATATAAATTTATTTAGACTAGATTATAATAGTATAATTAATAGTATAATTTTAAACAAAAAAAAAAAAAAAGAAAAAAAACATAATCCAAAAACTAAGGGACATTACAAACAACTTAAGGGACATTTCTTAAATATAAGGGACATTCCAAAGTATTATTGATGTTGGAAATGCTTAAAATTTAAAAAAAAATAAAAATATAGGGTCTCTTTTTGCTGCCTACAAAAGAAGAAAAATTAACTTTAGTTATTTTTCCCATTGGTCCTGTTTTTTTTCCTGGCAGGAATATGTCAAAACATTACAATCATAAAGGGACATTTTGTAAATTTCACTTATCATTGATGTTGAAAATGTTTAAAAACAATAATTTAAAAAAACAATTAATAGGTTTCTTTTTGCTGCCTACACCAAAATTAAACTTTTGTTATTTTTTTCAATGTTTTTCTTGTAAGTAGAAAAAGGCCTAGGTTTAAGGAAAAAATGTAAATATTGCAAAAAAAAAAATATACATAACTACAAAAATGTATCTCATTTTGGAAGCCAATTAGTAAAAATAAAATACTATCGCCTTACCTCATCTCTTAATAAATTCCTTACATAATCAATAACACAAATAGTTCCAGTTCGTCCACACCCAGCAACCCAAAAAAAAAAAAAAAAAAAAAAAAAATCATTTTCGTATAATATTTAATTCAAATAATTAAATAAGCCTAACATGTCTAATAAATTATCAATTAATAATTGATTGACTATGTCAATACAAAAACTGATAAATGAAAACATAAATATTGTGCATAAGAACTACCCAAGGTTGTATATATTTCCTGCTTTTTTGGTTTGGATCACAATGAAATACTCTAGGAATTTTTTCCCCTGTTTAGTTTGATTAAGAAAAAAATGCTAGAAGTCATCCTCTTTGGATTTGTCCAGGAAGTTTTTTTTCAGGCAGTTTTTCCGTGTGTGTTTCCATTTCCTTCTTTTTAAAGGAAAGAATTCAAAAAGTACTTCCCTCATTTTTTGTTTGGTTCGGTAAGGAACGGTGAATGTACATTTCCAAATTTGAATTGTTTGAGGAATGTTTAAAGGTACTATTCCCAGTTTGTTCCAGAAAAGAATGTCAAAGGTACTTCCCTGTTGGTTGGTTCAGGAAGGAATACTAAATGTGCTTTTTCCTGTTTGGTTTTGTTCCGGAAAACAGCATTTTTTCCTATGTTAGTGTGGTTATAGTAATTAATGGAAAATATATTTTTCATTGTTTTGTTCAGGAAAGAATGTTTAAGGTACTATTTCAATGATTAGGTTTGTTAAGCAAGGAATCCCTAAAGCATTCCCTCTGTTAGTAATGGCTCATAAAGAAGTATGGACTAAGGAGCACAAAACGAAATTTGAGTAGATACAACAAATGTATTTATTTTTTCTGCAAAGTGAGTCTCATAAACAACAATACACCTCAAAATCGTTAAAATTCATGTTGAAATAACAATATAATTTCAGTTTGTTAGTGCAAAAATCATTAGGCCTTTGTAATCACCACATCATGGCAACTGCAATGCACGTGGGCAATTCGTCCAACACTGAAGGTTAATTATGGTTTGGTTGCTATGGTTTTTGTGACGATCAGGGCGCGTTAAACTCAGTCGAGCGTGTGTGGGGGGGGGATGGACTTCTGCAACTTGTGGGAGACATAGGACCTCTTCCTTATCTCATTAGCAAGGGCGCATTTGGGGGGAGGGGCTGGGCCAGCCCCGGCCAAAGCAAGAAAAAGAAAAAAATTGATCACCAAAACCACCTCAGGTTATTTTTGGGCATAAAGAAAACAAAACTTTCATGGGGGATTTCCCCCAGACCTCCTAGAATAGTGTATTCTCGATCAGCCACACTTTCAACCTCCTCCCCCCTTTTAGACGTCTCTGGATCCATCCCTGATAAGTGCAATAAGACGAAGCTAGTTATCAAAACAAATTTGGTGTTGAGAAAAACAAATCTGACCTGCAATGGATAAGCAAAGGTTTCTTATCATCCAACTGGCGGTTCCTCATCTTCTTTACCATGTTTATGATAGCTTCCACTGATGATGGCACCCCATGGTCCGGCCATGATGTATAATGGAATTGCAAAATCTCCTTCTCCTCCTGTGAATATAAGTAACCATCACAGTGATTACCATCGCAGTAACTCCATAGAGTGCATACCTCCACCCTCAATCAGGCTGCGTATGGGCTATTCCATTATTTTCTTTTATGCTCAAAGGTAAGTTTAAAAAAAAAAATCAAAATTTCCATGCCCTTCACCTTTGATATTTTCTTCGCAAAATTTATTCATCTCTTTCTCAGATTATCATGTACCATTCTACTAAATATTACGATGATCCATTCCTTAGTTTTCCTCCTTGGTGGAAGTAATTACATGGCAAGAAAATTACACAGCTTCATAGGGAGAAGGTTATTAAGGAAGTTGTTAAGGTTTTGGTTGTCAGGGAGGAGTATTGTTTTACTACACGATTTTATCGTTTTCCCATGATTATGACATCATTTGATTTGATTATTATTTTGTTATCGTAAACAAGATCGTCATCGAATCGTGCTAGTGTGAAAACTTCTCTTATTTCTTTTATTTTCTATATGAACAACTGCTTTTTAGCTTTTTATCGATGATCGTTATCTTCATAATGCAACAGGCCTTTTGGTTGGATGACATCTTATGCTTTCCATCACAGGGCTGGGCATAAATATAGGTCAGAGAGTCAATGTGAATATTTAATTAACACCCAAACTTTGATTTTCCAGAGTGCTCCCAAAAAACCTTCATGGACTGCTTTGATACCACTTTATGCTCAGTTCTAATGTTACTTTTAAAAAGATGATTGGCATCGGCCGTAACAGCAAAGGGGTTTTCTGGCAGGCTGCACACATAGGGTTTTAATTTATTTTTTGCAGGCCGCAACTAAATAACCATCCAGCCGCATGTGGTCTGTAGGCCGCACTTTGCCCAACCGTGTTCTACCAGAATTACTTTTTACTTACCTCTCCTTTATGTACATTAAGTTTACGAATCAGGAAATCTTTGGTAATGCATTCTTGATTAATCTGTAACAATTATTTCAATGATTTAATCATTAGTATGTAAAATTAAAAAGATTAAAGATAAACAAAACATTTACATATAATGTCTATTCCTGAATTTTGGATTTGGTTTTTCAATTAAAATTTTATATTGCTAAATGTTTACCAATTGATTGGAGGGTAGTTATTTAAAGACTTACTGTATGTTATTTCTAATATCTATATTGTAATCATTGAGGATTCTTTTTAACCTATATGTTTTAACAACACAGTTTGCAATTCAGTTTCTAGTGGCATAAACTGTTTTATGCCTTTTTTCTCAATGGGCGTTCAATATATCAAGATGAAAAATCTAGAATGAGAGTAAGGAACAAGAGATTTTAGCAGAAAGAGAAGAGAGTGAAGGAACACAAGTTTGGCAAGAGGATGGAGATGAATGGAACTAAGGGAGGAGACAGAAAAGGAAAGGAAGAACAGAAAAAAGTAGCAGAAGATGAGGCAGTGGGTTAGGAAGGGAAAGGGATATGAGGAGGTAAACAACATGGTAGGAAAAGAAGAGTAAAACAGAAAATAAAAAAAGGAAGGAGGGAAGAAGAAGCGAAGACAATACGGGTGAACTGACCTGTTGAACTGAAATGTCACCAAACTGTAGATCTTCGTTCTCTTCACACCAATATTTCTGACATTTATGCTAAAAAAAGTAAACAATGATGATAATAATCATAAATGCCATACAGTCAGAGGCATATCTAGAAGTCTTGGAATGGGGGAGGGGGCTGATACTGTAGGGGCATGAAGGTGAAGTGGGGGTTCGATGATTAACTGAAGGGGTCCTAGCTTGCAAAATAAAGTGATATGAGGGGATTTTTAACTACTTAGCATGATTCTTTTGCTTCAAACATTCTCAATTACACGGGGGAGGGGGCACAGTTTTCTTTTTGGGGAGGGGGATAAGTGCTACCCTTTTGCACCCCTTGATATGCCACTGCATGCCTGCAACTGTTGACATGTTCTTACACAATTAAAGAAGCACATACATGCATAATTTCATTATAACAAACTAAACTAAAATCATTTATCAATCTGCAAAAACTAAAATTCATATACAGTATCTTTAAAAAAATCTCTAAATCCCATATTATCATTATTATTATATATCGAGTCTCCACTGTGCAGATTCGCTTGTGTCCTTGGCCAAGGCACTTTAGCTACATTGCTTCAGTCCACCCAGCTGTATAAATGGGCACCAGCAAACTGCTGGGGACTAACCTGCGACGGACTAGTGTCCCGTCCAGGGGGAGTACAACTCTCATCTGCTTCAAACTACAGAAACTGGGGATAAGTTCCAGCCCTATGAGCCCCAGTGGCTTGGAAAGGATTTAATGTTTTTTACATGCATAATTTTATTATAACCTAAACTAAACTAAAATCATTTATCAATCTGCAAAAAACTACAATTCATATACAGCATCTTTTAAACAAATCTCTAAATCCAATATTAACACATACATCATTTAGGTATACCTGTACTGTAATTCTTGAATTTAAACTAGATTTTTTTTTTTGAAAGTTGCTGTTGTTTATCCCCACGCATTAAATACCTTTATTTTACACCTGCACAATTCTCCGAGGGCAAATAAGTGCCTCCCATTCGTGGTTCATTGAACTGATTTTTTGTTTGTATGAAAGAAAAGCTTTTCATTCAAGTACGATGAGGTGCATGCAAACTACAAACAATATATCACTATTCAAACACAACATTTGATATCAGGACACAAACCTAGATTGTTGTCATTTCAATGTTCTTCTATATACCTAACATAATTGTTTTATTCTGTATTATTTGTCAGTGAGGAAATATTTCTGTTATTCAGACTAAAGTCCTATCCAAACTATCATATTTTTTTTGACATGCCTAAATATTGTCATGACGACATCACATAATGATCATATAATAGGCATATCATGACTATATATATGCATACAACAGTATTTTTGAAAAGAAAGTTTGATAATATAGACTTACTTAAAATGACATGTCTTAAAATATTTAGCTTAATTTTTGAGCTTAACGTATTTCTCTTCTTGAAACTTGTTTGTTGGCCTATTTGTATTATTTCATGAAATTTTTATTTATTTAGCAATTCATACTTTTTTCAGCGATGTTATTGTACTGTGTTTTCTTGGTTTACTGTTCAACTTCAATTTTTATGATACAAACTGCAATAAAGCTTCCCGTATCTCATGGTCATAATGACATCACATCATGACTATATATGGGCATATAAACATTTTATAGTTTGCACAGGGCCTAAAACATATCCGTAAATCATGAATCATACCTTCCCCTGTTCATATTCATTGCACGCCATCACCACAATTTCAGTGTTGCTCTCCCAAATCAGTCGCCAGAAATCTATGACGGTCTGTGGAAGTGGTCCCTGAGCTGCAATGTACACAGGCCTTCCATCGTGACCCTTAAATAACATTAATACGAAGAAAGACAACGAGTATAATCAAAACAGTAGCAGAATGTAATGTAGGAGTAGTGAGAGATCAACCAGCACGAGTGACCAAAAAATGCAAAATGACTATACTCTTTTTTTTTTTTTTCTTAAATTTAAGTATATAGTACACAACTTTTTGTAAAGCACTGGTATGTAGTTTTTAAAAATGTGAGTGCTAAAGTTATGAATGAATGAATAACTGAATAAAATATATTTTTATTTTAAGTGATCTATATAAATGTTTATGTCTGTGTCAGAGTTTAACCCATTTGTTAAGAAAGTGAAGGAAATAATAAAAAGGAATATTATTGTTATTTCAATTGTTATTAAAACGTAATAGCTCAATCAATTATTTAACAACCTTTGCAAACCAAAACCAGATAGATTATAATTGCTTCCTCATATCAACCTACACACTAATCCTACCTTTGAGTAAGATAGAATTAAATGAGAAATTTAAACCTCAAAAACCTCAAGCATAGTCAAATGAGGTAGTAGTATATGCATTTAAAATTCCCAACAATTTACCCAAATTCAATATCCATAATGTATAATTTATCAATAATTTTATTATTACTTTTATATACCTTTCTACAAATCTTTCCTATTTAAAAGCCTACACTTACACACTACTCCCACCCTTAACCACTCCCCAGAACCACTATTCAAAACCCCTCCCCACAACCCCACCTCATAACCCTTCCGCACATCCCATGAACACTATTTACTACCCTATCATTAATGGGACAATGACAGATTATTCTTATGTCCTTAGCACACCACCCAAAGAAGTAAAGTCTCATTAACAATGTTATCAAGTAGAATAAACAGATTAATTTAAAGGTATGTCAACAAATTTATACTACACCTTAAGATAATTAGCATTGATATAATCTGATCCCGGAACACCATCCAACTCTGATAAAATTAAGCGGGTATAATCGACTGTAATAAAAAAACAAATTATAAGTATCACATCTACCAGAGTTCATCTTAAATTTGAGTCAACAATTACCATACTTTAGAACTTATGACTTTTTATTATGACTTCTAAAGGTACCTGTATAAAAACAATGCTTTTTTCTTCTATGCAATTGTAAATAAAGATTAAAATAATATAAAAAACACTAATTATATAACAACAATAACCACATCAATATAACAAAATTATCCAATTTTCCACATATATGTGTCCTTCATATAAAATTTATAAAGTAATTAGTTTTAAAATCTAAAATAGTAATGACTTAGATATAAGATAATAATAAAGTCTAATCAGATTCTTGACTCGTACAACATTGCCCAATAAAGGATATGTGGTATATGCCCATGATTTCAAACACTAGCTTTTCCATCAATCAAATTTATAATGTCTGTCAATGGATGTTGAAAAATTGTATAATTTTTAAGTAATTTCTACCACCTTTCACAATCAAGTAACAAATTGCATTTGGCAGTATTACTGTACACTTGGTTATTCAATCCAAACATGCTTCAGCAACCTTTAATCTTTACAGCTCCCTGGGGAATACAATATCCTCAAAGCATTGTGCACATACCAATACAGTTAAATACCACAAAACCTTACAAGTACAAGACACATTCTTATGGTGTAAAATGCACCATAAGGGACTCAAAGGCTTGCAGACTGCAAATTGTAAATGTTGCTGCAAACAGTTCCTACCCAGCAGGCAAATCAATTCAAGATTCAAGAGCACTTTATTGTCCCATTTTAAAATAGGAAATGTGTTTTTCCTTCACAACAGTCTTGGTTAAAAAGGATAAAATTACATTAAAAAATCACAAGACAAAACAACTAGGCAATGATGAGATGAGAAAAAAGATTAAGTTAAAATGAAATGGGAGGGGGCTGATGGGGATACAAAGGTGAAGGTGAATTAGGGGCTTCATGATTGAGTGGTGGGTACTAGCTCACAAAATAATGTAATATGAGGCAATTTTAGACTACCTGAGCCTAATTTTTGGCTTCAAACATTTTCAATGCGGCAGGAGGGAGATTTTTTTGGGGAGCGCAAGGGTTTTTTGGGAGGCCCTCACAACCCTAGATACGCCCACAGTTTAATGCTATTACAGACCCCTAAGCTACAGTATATCATGAAGATGAATTCTTACACAATCATATTCCAAACTTTAGGTGAATTTTATATAATGTTAAGTTTGTAGATTAGATTTATTTAGTGTGAACACTAATGATAACCTGCGAAAGTGCAAAGACCTATTTCCAGTGGGGTCCTTCTGGTTGTGATTGGTCAGTACGCCGGGAGACAATCCGCTATTTTTTCCCAAATAGTGTACCGCGTTCTTTAACTTGCACATATGCCATACTGCACATATGTCAAACAGCTTTAAACTTTCAATAGACAGAACACATTTTTATACTTGCACTTCGGCCCTCCAGCTCGAACACAATTGCACAGCAGCAGATGGAACTGAACAAAGTACAAAATGTTAACAATGGATCTCTGCAGTTCAACACCCACAATGGCTAAAACCAGTTCAGCCGACTGACCTATGCTGCTCTATATACTGAAAGAGTATTTTCCAAATAAAGATCTTAATAATTCATAAATTGATTAAACTTTGTGGATACTTACATGGTAGGATATCTTTATAGCGGTTTTTCCTTAGTTATGCTTGCATGCATGTACGCATGTACAGTATGTATATATAAACCAACCAAAAAAGTATAAAATGGAAAGAGGTCCGACTCTATTTTAACATGGATACAAACAACATTTACATACTGTATATACCTGTATCATCTCTTTTAAGGATGCCTTCTAAGCTGTGGTAGTACTTTTTGAATACGACTAAATGAAAACCAGAGAGTCTGACCTCTTCTCATTCTATGCTCTTTGTATTATAATTGTGTGTTTTCTCAACTAGTGTCAGATAAAATCTGGTTCAAAAAAACAACATAATATACCAGTGTTGGCTGTTTTAAAAAAAGTCATGATTATTGGAATTCCCCCAAAAAAGCTTCAAAAAGATTTTCATAGGTCCTTTACCTTACAAATATAGTGCATTTAATGTACAAGTTGTACATCAAGGTTCTACATGTTTTATGTAACAATTGTTATATTCTACAACAATGTACCCCTGTTTGGTTCTGGCAGATAAAAATTAAAGAATAATTAGAAATGGCAAACACTGATAAGTTAAATACTACTATTATACGACAGCAGACATTTTATTGAATGTTGATTAACTAAAATTTATTTTACTTTTTCTTTGGTACTCATTGTTTTTGGCTTTTCCTGTGAAATGAAATCTTTGTAATAATGAAGCGTGTGAGGAAATGCTTCTACACTTTTCCTGGTATTCAGAAACAGAAACAAGAATATAATTTACATTATCGTTATCTGGGATTATATAGCCTACCGTACTGATAATATAGTACATTATACATGTATACTGTACATTAAACTATACTGAATTAGAAAGTTGCCAGTCATAAACCTGTGTAAATATTTACAAAAGGGACACTCAAACTGAGAAATTATTTATTTTCTTTAATAGATCACAGCTGCAATTATTAAAAATATAATACACAATCCATGACTCAGCAGTGACAAGAATAAAATGACTGTAAAAATGTAAATTAATAATAATAATAATAATAATAATAATAATAATAATAATAATAAACAGAATTTGATTTAATCTGCATGGTAATTAATCATAATAATATTAATAAATTTAATGGTACACTACTGTAGCTATTCCAAAATCCCATCAATTACTAGGGAATATTCACAGTAGTGGATTTAGGAGGGCGTAAAGACCGCACGCTCCCTCTATTTTTTGTAAAGCTTATCAAAAAATTACCATGCGAAAAAGTTAAAATTAATAAAATACAAATTAATGATGGTTTAAAGAGATTTTCACCCCTCTTGCGCCCCTAATAGGGGCTCTTCCATGAGATTCTCATTAATAGTTCGCACATTACCAGCCTGGAATCACTTCCTGTATACAGAACAATTTGTATTAAGGAGCACGTTTGGGATTGAAAAAGTGTTCATTTAATAGTTTGTCCCCGAATATGAGTTAAAAGTAGTGTTAAAAGATGCTTTCCCTTGATTTGCGACCAAAGAGTGTCCCATTAATAGGAGTCTCCCTAATAAGAATGTCCCTTTAATAGATGTTTCCCTAAGGAAGGGGTTGTACCACCTCCGTGGTTGTACAATATTTGTAATTGACATTCAAGTTGAAATCTTGGAAACATTTAGCTCATCTGACATCAAAAGAGCAGTAACTGACATCTGTAACAGGACGATGGTAAAACTGCCAGGAAAACAGCCTTGGCATCCAGGATGTACAGTAGAATAGCATAGTTTATAGACAATCCTTTTTCCGGAAATGAAAGTACAGCATATAATACAGTATTGCAACCGGTACAGCAAATGTACAGTTACAAACTATCAACCTACTGCTCAAGGCTACTCTAAAACTCTACAGTAAAATATAAACACAAATGAAAGGTCTGTCAGTGGTTACACGTACAGGACTTCTGCGAATGAAGCTGTAGTTTGGAGGAGGTTGAGTTCTGTCTGTTTTATGCCCATATATAGTCATGATGTGCCTATATATATGGTCATAATGTGATGTCATCATGACCATATTTAGGCATGTCACATGTTTCTGTCAAATAAAATTTGATAGGGTCTGTGGTTTGGTCAAGGTTTAAGATGTTAGCGCTCCAATACCTGGGTTCTGGGTTCAAGTCCATTAACACACTTTTGTTTCAGTATCTTTTGAGAGGAGCTCAGAGTTTAAAATTTCTTTTGAGATAATATATACCATCATCTACAAACTCTTACTGCCCGCTCGCTTGACACACAGACAGGCAGGATGGAATCATGAATGATTCTTTTGTACTACCAAGCGAGTGAAAAATATGCTTAGCCTTGATTTTATCTAAACTACCACGTAAAGTTTTATTTGTTTTTTACTCCATTTAAATTTGCGACCTTTTTTTGTCAGGATTTATTTAATTCATAATGAACAAATAAACAATATACAGTATAAGAAATTTCAAAAACAGAACTCCCTTTAAAAATGTTTTTGTTATTCAACAAGCCAAATTAATATAATACTAAATGAAATCCTTGTCAACTACGTAAACTTTAATACCTTAAAAAAAACTAAGTGGTCCACTGACTATTAAAATATAATACAACGTGGTGCACACTCCAAGATGACTAAAGCTATTGATTCAATATTTTAACATTTGAACATCATTAGGAAGGACTGGGATATATGCAGAAAGTGGAGGGGGCAGGGGTAGATACAGAGATGTCTTAAAGGGAGGCTGAAAATAGGGCCAATCGAGGTAACACTACCATAGGGGGTAGAACACTACCTTAGGGGGTAAAAACATTTGTTTTTTAGTGCCCGAAAATATCCTCTGAGGGGTTTGGGCGATCATTTTTTTCTTTTTTCTTCTTTTTTATTTTCCAAAAGGGGGGGGGGGAGGGAGTGCCCTAAATCCACCGATGCAGACAATGTAATCACACCCCACAAAATTGTTATTAACACTGTTGCTGAACATAGTAGATATTTAAAATACGAGAGTGCAATTTCCGGGCACCTATGGGTCCTTTCCTTAAAATGTTCACGCTTCAGCCTCAACCATGGTGGGGCTAAAGTGGTGTGGAATCTCATGCACCCCCTAAAACCGAATCCTGCATCCTCCCCAGCATGATGGTTCAAATATAGAACAAAATATTAAATCAATATGTTCTTTTCGGAGTTTGCATATTATCATTATTAAAAACGTTATCCCTCCTTTCCAAACCATTTCCTCTGTAATATAAATAACAACTTTACACTTTCTATTTTTTTAAATTGTTCCTTTGTGACCATACTGTAACTCATTAACATGAGTTACTGTACAGTGCAACCACACTGTAACACATATGAACTTAAACTATGATTTCCATTAAAAAAAAAAAAAAAAAAAAATCTA